ACCTAGATTTTTATATGAAAACCATAAAAATTTGAGTTGGAGAGATGTACAACATAGGGTTAAGCTTCCTTCCAAATGTCATGGAAATTTATATCATTCGATGGTTTAAGCCCAAGACGACATAATCCAGACACAAAATTTCTCAAAAAGTGAATACTTATCGGAAGACAGAGTCCCTTCACATCTACTACCAGAGCATGCAAGGACATTTTATTGGATGAGGCATCCATGTTCAACCTTACACCTGAAGGATCAGCTGCAGCACAAGGAAAAGTTGCAGTATCTTATAAGTAATTCAAATTTCACAACCAATCTAATACATGTCAAAAGAAAATTTTCCCAAAGCGGGATCTTCACTAGGCAATTACCACGACCATGCGAAGAAGAGAAAAAGGATGTAGTGGAAGGTCATCAAAAGTGCAGCAAACTAGTTGTCCTAAAACATAATTAGCCATTAGGTACCTGCTTCGGATCCTTACAACTCTAGTGAAGAGGACTTAGGTAACCGGGTTCAAATGGAAATATTTGGGAGTGAAATGGAACACAAAGCAAGAGTTTAGAGCAGGGCATTGCAGCAGTCCTTCTACAATAGTCCCTAGTATTTTGAAGCAAGGGCACTGTAGTAACCCACCTGTTGTCAAAACTTCAATGCCTCAGCACTGCAGTACCCGTATCAAATGCTCCAGCCAACAATGACATCTATATCCCTAAAGTTTCCAAATCTAAAAGTTCTATGTTTCCTAATTTGACATTATTTTTATCCTTTATTATTAAAATTATTTTTAACTGCCATGTCTTGTTATACAAGTATCCTAATGTTTTAGCAATCTTGTGTCATTGTGTCTGTGTATTGTGTGTCCATGTTCAATCTATTACATTTGAATGCACAATTTTAATATATAGACTTAAGATGGATACTACAATTATCATCATTCATCCAAGTAGTAAGGCTAGGGAAAAAATAGCTTACAAACATAATTTGACATTTACTTAAGCATTGTTACTGAGAGATCTCCGCAAGCATGAAGGCCAGCCAGAACTAAGGAACTCCCATTGCCTGCCAAACCAAGTTCAAGATCTTGCTTAATTGATTTTGGCTGCTCAACATCAGCTTCATGCGGCGACAAGGTGGTCAAGGATTTCAATGTTTCCTAGGACATTATGTTGCATGTAATTGTTTGGGGCACGTTTAATCTCTTTTTTCCTGATCTAACAGAAAAAATATGTAATCTGTCAACAAGTGTAAGGGTTGTCAAAGTAGAGGTTCAATTAACTTGAAAGTGTAATTGTGACAATGAAATCCACGTAAATGTTAAAAAAATAAAGGAAGTTGACTCCCTAACATACCCAAGTTAAAAAAATAAAGTGTAATTGTGACAAAGAAATACCGTTCTATTGTTCCATTCTACGTTGCCAAATTAAAACAGAAATGTGAAGTGAAAGAATTTTGCTCAATTCAGATCAACCTCCTTTGACCCTTCCCCTAGTTCCTCCAAATTGTTGTTAGATCCTGGCTCTGTTTCATATCAACATAACTTATGTTACATAATTGACATTTATTGTCATCGAGAACCAAGAATCACATAATTTCAAATTCTAGAACTGGGTAGAGTCATCAAGATGGGCAAGGGAAATTGCATTGCCTGAACTCGAATCACAGTCTGACATATAATCTAGTTTTTGCAAACTATGCTAGCTGGAATACAAAATTCGGACTTCGGATAGAACCTAAAGCACATATTTATGCTAAATTTATGCATCTAAAAACAAAGATTGAAATTTGCATCAAGAAGCAACCTTTTCCGTAGATTATCATAAAAAAATCCATTTTTATATTGGAAGCAAACAATCTAAAAAATACAGAGAGCTAAAAGAGACCACTTGAATCAGCCCCCTCAATCAATTATTTTCTATGGACAAGAACCAAATAGAGAAGCAATAAAATCCCATAGAAATCAACGAAGCTACTAATAAAACTAAAAAAAATGATCCCATAGCGAAATATTCTCAAATTTATAGAAACTAAATGAGTTAATTGAGATAATTTACTCAAAGAACTTAAAAGGCAACCTTGTATAACTTTAGTAAAATTTTCCAATCAACCAAACAAATGATGAAAACAACAAGAAATCAACCAATAAGCTTTAAAAATCGAATCCACAGATTTAACGACCTTTCATTTCGAACAGCAAGGTTGAGGAGAAGAAAAGAAAGGTAAAGATAAAGTTTCTCTCGTTGCTAGGAAAATAAAAGAAAGGGAATGTAGAAGAAATCTTACCAGTAGAATCTCAATGGAAAACGATGAATTTTCGCAGAGGCAAACTCACGGGAGAAGAAGATATCGCAGAAACAAGCTCACGGGAAAAGAAGGCTATTTTAGCCCTTAGAACCGGAAATAATAAAATACCTAAGACACGTGGGAATAACGTTCTCGGAATAAACACACTAAAAATTACCGTTGGTATTAAATTATTACCCTCACTTGAAAATCTTACCCAACCAAACATGAGTATCCATAATCATGAAAAAAATATGCCTGTTGGGAATGAACAAATCCTTGATCCAAACGGGTCTTAGAGTAAGCTGTAAGGCTGGGGGGGGGGAATTATGAGGCGTGCAAATAATCATTCCTGGAATCACCTTGGCGTTAGAGGGCGGGATGGAGTGCTGGAGGCCTTGCCTTTCCGCGCTTGGATACATCATTCGGATTGCCGTCCAGAGAAGAGGGATTTTGAAGATAATCAGAGGTATGAGGGAAAGTTTACAGGGTTGAGTGGCACACTCTGAATCTGCAAAGTGGAGAAATCAGTGAGACTCTGAATACGATGCCGCTCGAGGCTCGTCATTATGGAACCGCCGTTGCTTGTGGCAACCGAGTTTACGTCCTTGAACCTGCCTTGGGGATCCCTTTTGTCCCGATAAAAATTTTGGCCGTGACGACATGCATAACTGTGTTTTCTACTTTGATTGTGGTAGACTTGATGGTAAATGGAAGCAAGCTCCTCCTATGATGGCCTCGTGCTTTACACCCGCGGCTGTTGCTACACCACGAAAGATTTACGTATTCCGGTCAACTCCTTTAAAAGCTGCTCCTTTTGCCGAGGTTTTCAATGTAGAACTAAATCGTTGGGATAAATTGCCGAACCCTCTCGTGGCTTCTGATTTGTATTTTCAATCTGCATCTAACGTTGTTCTCTTTCAGTCTTCCCGATCTCGAATTCTGGTGTACTTCGGCTCCGATTGTTTTCTTCAGGCCTTCAACCTTATCTCTGAATCATGGGAATGCCTCGATCCATCGTTGCGCTACTGGTCTGATGTATCGGTAATCGTGGGTGACGTTATATACTCTCTCTATGAGCCACCGGACTAAGATTGGTTTACTGATTTTAGAAAATATTTCGGGGGGTATCGCTTGGTCCATAAGAAATGGTTGGACGTCAAGTGGTTATGTAAGTCTCCAGTACCTGCTCCAACCAGTATCAGTGGAATTAAGCTGTTTCATTTGGGCAATGACCTAAAGTGTTTTGCTTGGTACTCTGAGTCGCCCGTGCTTCTTAACTACATAAAATTCTGTGTGCGTTTTGATTCTGGGAAGATTTATGCAAAAGTAGAGAAGAATAAAGAGAATGAGAAGAATGAAGAGACTGAACGTATCATCAATGTTCCGTTTGAAAGCTTCAATTCTGGGAAGATTTATGCAACCGTAGAGAAACATGAAGAGACTGAAGACTCTGAATGTATCATCCAAATTCCGTTTGAAAGCTTCAATTCTGATTTTATGTTGGTGTAAATGAAGGTTAGTTTCTCCTTCACTTTCTTGTTGATTTTATGAAGAGCATTTATGTATTTGTTATCCGTACATTTATGCATGGACAATGTTACATGGTGTTGTCATGGTTTGCGTCTGGGCATTGTGCCTTAGCACCAAACAGCGTAGGAGCTTTAGACATTTTCTAGATAGCCTAGCACCATTTGCTTGACTGCATAGCGAGTGCTTTTTTGCTCCTTAGGCAATGTAGGGGTTGAAGAGTGCCTTATGCTCAGTGTTCAAACCAAAATAGTGTACTGCAGAGATACGGCATTAGTCAATTTTTATGCTTCATTTCTGGCAGAGCGCATGGGATTTGATGTAATTTTGTTATTGGTTTATTACATTTGAAGATAGTGTTGCAGACTGCAGATGTATATCTGAAAACAGAAACATTATAGATTAGGGGGATTGTTTTTCAGATGTATTTGTTTCGTTTCGATTGCAGGAGGCCTTTCTGGAATGGTAATGGAAGCTAATAGTATTGTAATTATTTATTATTAATTGCCAACTCTATAGATTAGGGGCTCACAGTATTAATTTATCTTCGAATATTAATCAAAATTCTCGTTTCTGTTGTTCATACATTAGAACTTGGTGTTTGTGTTTCTATTAAAGAAGTAAGCGGAATACTTGAGGCATCAAGGCGTGGTAGTTCATCTGCACTTAAGTGTTGGTTTCACAGTTCGATTGTCAATTGATGATATGCTTATGCTCTGTAGTTATATATCAAAATGAAGCTACTATTCACTCTTATCCTCACTCTTTGTCAACAATCTTGATAGAGCTGAATGGCGTTCAGTTCATTCGTGTTATGAATCTTGATAGATATATTACTTTTGGAGAATTGATGTTGCTTTGGATCATCTTGTTTGATATTTGTTTCACTCTTCCTCTTTATGTATCAGTTCTTTTGAGTGGAAATCATGACCTAAATGAATCTTTTGCACTTCTGAACCTTGATAGATTAAGCTGTTGCAACTATTCCTTTCAAAAATTGGATGGTCATTTAACCATTTAGTATTAGTTTTCTAAACTGCCTGCACTTATTCCTTTGCTCCGTATTAATATCACATGCATGTAGTCCTCCTGCGTTTATAATGATCGAGTGTCAAGCACTGATGTAACCATTTGTACAAGTAGATTTTTCTAACAGATTATTATGAACTTTTCATATTTTCTTTTTCTGCAGGAGAACCATTCATTGATGGGAAGGTTGTTTCTTATGACGACAAGTATCACTCCGACTGGATTGAGGCTCGAAACAATAGTGAAAGTAAAGGAACAACTCATCCATAAAATGCAAGTGGAAAACAAAGGAAACAGTAGTATGATTTGTTGGGAAATAAACGAGAACGAGTAATTTCCCTATAACCAGATTAGTGAGAATGCGAAATAAAAGCGGAAAAATAATACCCGAAATTGATAACGGAGTTAAGCCAATTATGCTTACGTCTCCGGACTGTTGCAGATCTTTTACTAAAGGGAGAAAATTTACAGGTGTTTACAAAACACTCGAGAGAGAGCTAGAATGATTTGGAGATTATTTTGAAGCTAAATGAGCTAGGGTATTTATAGTTGAAGCTTAGGGACTAATATTTGAAAATACCCTAAAGTCTAGTGACTAAAAATAATTTTCCCATGCCATTTAGCAGCCCATTTTTTTAATTCTAAGCCGTCGCTGCTGCCCTTTTCTTTGACCAATAATCTCCCACTTGAAGACTGATTTTAATCTGTCTTCACACCTCGATCAATGCAACAGCGTTTCTGGTTTTGTTATTCTAGCATGCTAACTGAAGCTGAACACAACTTCAGTTTGTCTGTAGTCATCGCCCTGTAAACCCACTTGTTATTGGGCAGTTTCTCCGTGGCTGCCTTGTCCCTCAACGTTTTGGCTTCTTTCGACTCTTGTTTACTAGTCTTTGAAGGATTGTTCCTCACTTGAACATCCTCGGCAAGCCCTTGCTTCGACCCTTCTATTATGATGGTCTCTGAAGACATGTTCTACACGAACATGTTCGGCAAACTCTTTGGACATGGCTAACTCCTCTTGCACTTGGCTTCTACTTGCCTTGGAAAAAATTAACCGTATTGAGCCAACTCTTAACGCCCCCTCGATCCTGGGTTCGTCCTCTTCTCTAGACAACTCGGTCCTGGGTTCATCCATCACCTTGGATGACTCGGCTCCCCTCAGGTAATTTTGTAACACTTCTGGCATCTTAAGTCTGCGCCCCCTCGTTTGCTCGACTCTTACCATCGGCTTAGCATCTTTGACACTCGAACTTGTGTCAAGACTGGACACATTTTCCCCAGACTGCACACATTTTCCCCAGACTCACCATCTGATTCATCACTGAGTGGATTTTCCCTACCACTTGAGGAACAACATTCCTCATCCTCTGACTTGCCTTCGTTACGAAATCTCTTGCCGCTACCCTCCGCTTTGCTTTGGAGGTCTTGTTCTTCTCGACTCCAAATTCTTTGATGGAATCGGCGGCTGTCAAGGCTTTAGACAACTCCTTGACTTCCATTCGCTCCAACACGTTCTTCGCCCATGGTTTCAATCCGAACATAAAGGTGAAGAACCCATCTTCTTTAGTCAAACTTGGGACTTTGAGCATGAGTTTTCTGAATCGGCTCACATACTCCTTAAGTGTCCCTTTATGCCTGAGACGCCTCAACTTTGACCACGCCTCCATCCTGGCATACTATGAACGAACCTGTTCACTTTGCACCATCGGCTTGACGGCTTTATCTCTTGCTATCGCACTGGGTCCCTTCTTGTGCTCGACTACTTTGACACCCGCAGTCTCGTCACATTTTCTTCCGGGTTCGGTTGCTTCAACATCAACAACCTTGCCTCGTCTTGATCCTTGCTTGGCCGCATTGATCCCCTCAATCGGACCAAGTCTTTTCCCTGGCTTGGTAGCTTTAACACTTGCGACCGCGCCAATTCCTGCTACTTCTCATTCTCTCATCCTCTTCATGATGGTTGCAAGACGACGCTTCTCGGGACATCCTCTAATCAAATGAGGATCATCACAGAAGTAGCACTTTAACTTTTCTTTTCTCACCTTCTTCTTCGCACCATACTTAGCCTTGCCATTCTTTCCCGATGGCTTTCCTTGGCTACGAACAGTCGATGACTCACATTGGCCACTCAAAGAGCTTTATCTACCATTTATCTGATGCACCTTCTCCCGGTCTACCCTATCATTGTCGCTATCTCTGGGCATGGGCCTGGACGACATATCGCTACTTGGCTTGACACCTGCAAGCTCAGTCAGCTTTCTGGCTACAGCTATGGCCTCCGAAAGTCTCTAGCGTCACCTTGCTCTCTCCCGAGCATTGCCTTGGTCTAAGTCCTTCCAAGAAGGTCTTGAGCGCACCATTCAACTTCTCAATTTTCACATTCCCTTCGTCTGTAGCCATCGCTCCCACTCGAATCTAGCTTTGTTTGGATCGTTTCTGACAATTTCTGCGAATCACCATGTATTACAACACCTCCGTCGACAAGCTCGTATCACCAACCAAATTTCACTATTTACGAAATTTACTATTCATGTGAATAGTATCCTCGCAGAAAAATTGATAGAATTCACAACCAAAAGCTCATGATACCAGTTGTTGGGAAATAAACGAGAACGAGTAATTTTCCTATAACCAGATTAGTGAGAATGCGAAATAAAAGCGAAAAAATAATATCCGAAATTGATAACGGAGTTCAGCTAATTATGCTTACGTCTCCAGACTACCGCAGATCTTTTACTAAAGGAAGAAAATTTACAGGTGTTTACAAAATACTCGAGAGAGAGCTAGAATGATTTGAGGATTATTTTGAAGCTAAATGAGCTAGGGTATTTATAGTTGAAGCTTAGAGACTAATATTTGAAAGAGAAAATAACCTCAGTGACCAAAAATCCCAGATAATATACGATTTTGACCAACTTTTTTGGATTTGCGAAAATGACCAACAAAATCGCAATGCGATCTCTAATTCGCATTACGATCTCCACTATCGCAAATTCGCGTTGCGATAATTGAAAATCGCGTTGCGATTTTCCATTTCGCGTTGCGATTTTCCAGTTCGCGTTGCGATAGTCTACAGTTGTCGTTGCGATTTTCCAAATTCGTTGCGATAGTCTACAGTTGTCGTTGCGATTTTTCAAATTCGTTGCGAAAATTCGTTGTGATAGTTAAAAAAAAAGATTTTGTTTCTTAAGAATTTTCTATAAAAAGATAGTATCCGCGCGGACGTGTCGAAGACACGTATGACCACGACCACGAGACGAGACGAGACGAGACGGACGGTGGCAGCGGCGCGCGAGAGTCCCCCTTGTTCTCTATCACTCAACAAGGAAGTGGGAAAGCCAAGCCTTAAATACCATTCTCAATAGTGTTTCCAATACTATGTGGGATTGAGCATTACCAACACTTGTTTCCAATACAATGTGATTATTCAGGAAACAATTAACAATCATGCACCTTAAAATAACTGAATCAGCAACCAATTGCATTAGTATTATACGATTAAATATGTCATAATTAAAAGTCAATCTACAATCAATCGCGATTATTGTAATTTTAAGCAAAACATTCAAAAATAATATCACTATTTAAGGCTCAATCCCACATAGTATTGAGAACAAGTGTTGGTAATGCTCAAATCCCACATAGTATTGGAAACACTATTGGGAATGGTATTTAAGGCTTGGCTTTCCCACTTCCTTGTTGAGTGATAGAGAACAAGGGGGACTCTCGCGTGCCGCCGCCGCAGCCCTCCATCTCGGGTCGGGTCGGGTCGTGGTCGTGGTCGTGGTAATACGTTCTTCGACACGTCCACGCGGATACTATCTTTTTAGAGAAAATTCTTAAGAAACAAAATCTTTTTTTTTAACTATCGCAACGAATTTGGAAAATCGCAACGAACTGTAGACTATCGCAACGAATTTGGAAAATCGCAACGACATTGTAGACTATCACAACGCGAAATGGAAAATCACGCGAAATGGAAAATCGCAACGCGATTTTCAACTATCGCAACGCGAAATGGAAAATCGCAACGCGATTTTCAACTATCGCAACGCGAACTGGAAAATCGCAACGCGATTTTCAACTATCGCAACGCGATTTTCAACTATCGCAACGCGAAATGGAAAATCGCAACGCGATTTTCGACTATCGCAACGCGAAATGCAACGCGAATTTGCGATAGTGGAGATCGCAATGCGAATTAAAGATCGCATTACGATTTTGTTGGTCATTTTCGTAAATCCAAAAAAAGTTGGTCAAAATCGTATATTATCTGGGATTTTTGGTCACTGAGATTATTTTCTCTATTTGAAAATACCTTAAAGTCTAGTGACAAAATAATTTTCCCACGCCATTTAGCAGCCCATGTTTTAGCATTTTTTTTAATTCTAAGCCGCCGCTGCTGCCCTTTTCTTTGACCAACGTGATTGCAGGCATGCCACTAATACTACTGCACTTTAGCTTTGTCATGTATGAATTTTTGAAACTTACTGAATCAGTGCCTCAATGGAGCCTCGGATAGTCGTTTATCGACTACTGCTTTTCGGTGGAAATTGAAATTAATCTTTGCGTTGCTGGTCGAAACAAAATTGTATTGAAAAAATCAAAAGGAAAACGAGCCAACACAATTTCTCCGAATAAAACAAGCTGTAAACATAGCCGAAATAACTAGTCAGCTTTAAGAAATACGCATAAATCATCTGCATATCTGTATACGTACACAACATTATCTATTTCAGCATGCAAAACAGACACTTCTCTTCATAGCACCAACTAATGCAAATCACAAACAAAACAAATCTCAATAAAATAAAATAAAATAAAAACATTTTTCCATACAGTATTTGCGTCACCAAACTCGAAGGATGTCGAGCACTGTACAAACAACAGTTTGTGGCAAAGGTAAGTATGACATGAAAAACCTTTTCTTCACCAGAAGAACCGGCACACCGGTCTTTAATTAATTTGACAAATATCTGTACACAAACCTATTTCAAAGACAGCAATAACAGAAAGTTAGATCTGATTACAGTAGAACTTCAGAATGTCCAAAAGTTTCAATAAGCTATTAACTCGTACCTTTCTTGTAGTTATATCCTTATGGTGGCAAGATGTATGTAATAGCGACTGCATAATTGAATTCGAGTAGTCCCGGCTTTTTGGGGAAAGGAAAACGGAAGAGAGATCATGCGTGGCTATCACGTGTAGAAAAGTATATAATGTCTTTTGAAGTTCTTTCAGTTCCCCAATTTCCTACAGAAAAAAAAGGTTCAACGAACACAGAAATGGAGTTGCAGTGTCTCACAGTTGAACTGGAAGTTAAAAAACTACTAATTGCATAAGAACAAAATAATAGTTCTGCAAAACCAACATTTTAGCCAGCAATTATCATGAAAAGAAATGCGAACTACCAATAGATATCTACCTCTGTACTGGTTTCAGGTCCTGAAGAATCGGCAATCCTTTGGATGACACTATATACCCGACCAGCAATAATAGGAAATACTTCTTCCAATATGTCACGGACCAAGGTGCTGAATTTGCACATATGTTGATTGAGCAGTAAGAGGAAACCAGCCATTTCTTTTGGCTGCAAAAGGACATAATCCACAAATAAACAAGAAAATTGCAACTGAAATATTCCAAACATAATTCCAAAGAACAATCTTTTCATGTATCATCGAGGTGGAAGCTATGATCTTTTCAGGAAGGTTTAAACAGGTTGTGCTGAAACCAAATATGGAAAGATGACACATTCATAAGGAAACAGAAATCCCAATCAAACCATAGAGCATTTTGTGTTTGAGAAGTAATCTCACTTGGATCATATTTCTTCTCCGTGTTAATAAATATATAATTAATTAACAACTCGAACCCAACATCAAAAAATAGTATGATTTGACAAGAGAAAACTCTGCATACACATTTTCTTCGCATCCTCCCATAGTAAACTGGAATGCATTCGGGCAAAGTCAGAAACAGCCTCGAAGACATCCTGTCCAATAGAGAAAGACGTGAAACATAAAGGACCCGGAAAAGTCGGAAAGTGCTAGGGGAACATGAGAAGAGATAGTGTTCTGAACACCGGGGACCCGGAAAAGCAGCAGATTGCAGGTGATGTGTTTGAACCTGTGAGCTAACTTGAGGAAAAACATTTGAAGTACTCAAAACCTGAATAGAAGCATAACTGGCAGTTTTGTAAGGATTAGTAGATACACCACTATGAGTGCAAACATTAGCTTGAGCAGCCCGTGCAATTCCTATTACTTTGAGCCGTTCTAGTCGATTCATTCTTGTAATTCACATCAAACCTATAGTAACACCTTAACCACCTATGTGTTTTTATAGTCAAATAGACATGTTGATGCCAAATCAAATAATTGTGATCATAAGAACAATGTTAATCTTCTTTGTAGAGACTAACTTGCTAGCAGATGATTGCAGTGTTAGAGATGTTGCTACTGTCATACCAAGTATTTTGAGGATGAGCAGTATTATCAATGACACTATTAGTCATAATGAACACACACAAGCTTAACAGAAAACACTCAGCAACAATGATCAAGAAAACGAGGAAAAAGAGGAACCGATCAATCTCACCAAACTATGCATAACAGACACCTGACAAGAATTTCATACCTGACAAGAGGCTTGAGAACCAATCGAGAACAAACAACAATCCGAATCAAGCAAGAAAAAACAAATTAGGAATCAAACGAACAAGAGAGCAATAGGAGTCTAACTCACCAGACTATCCGGTCACCGTTAACTGAATGCATCATCATTCACAAACCTCAGCAGCACAAGAAGCAACCAAATGCAGTAAGAACCAGTTGATTGACATCAAAACGAACATCAATTCAAAAAATTAGGACACCAAAAATTATGAAATCAAATCGACAGTTACTCAACGAGACAACTGGAGTACAGCCAAGCGGAAGAAAAAATGACCATAAGATCAACCACGAATGATACTGTAGACACTCATTTTCGTTCGGGACTTATTTAGTATATATATTAATATAATATAGTTTTTGAAAACATTTTGAAAACATATATAATATATAATTTTTGAAATCATTTTGAAAATATATATATAATAAATAGTTTTGAAAACATTTTCGAATATATATATATAATATATAGTTTTGAAAACATTTTTTGAATATATATATATATATATATATAATGTATAATTTTGGAAACATTTTTTAAATATATATAATATATAGTTTTTAAAAAAATGATTTATAGTTTACTTATTTCTTTTTTTATTTTTTATTTGTTTATTTTATTTTTTATTTTTATTTTACTTTTCAGGTTCGAATAGTCCAAAATTCGGGTCCAGAATACAATCCAACCGTGTAGGCTTGACCCAACAGACCCGGTAAGCTCGAGTGGGCCTGACCCAGCCTAAAGGATTAGGGTTTTACATTTAATCAAGATGAGAGAGAAGAAAACTTTCACGCGCGTGGCCAGCGAGTTGTCCGAGATCGTCGGTCGAACGCCCGGGACTGAACCATCCTGGGATTTCCGGCCCAACGTCAACCTCAACAGAACGTGAACTGGTCGGGAAACAGCCCAGAAAAGATCGGGGATGACCCCGAGATAATCGGAACCCAAACGGCCGATTGAAGGCTGGGAGAGATCAAAGGACCGAAAAGCATCACTGGAAAATCAAAGCACGAACTAAGATCACCAGAAACACCGAACACCAAACTATCACAGCAACCAAGCAAACAAAGCAGAAACAAGCAGTTGAAACAACAAAAACGAAGCAGAAAAAAGCATTCGAAATAGCGAGGAAAATCACAAAAAAAATCAAGGATTTGATTTTGGGACTGCACGAAGGAAAGCACGATGGCAAAAAGCCAAAGGTCGTCGAAAATCGTAAAGGGTCGCCAGAAAAATGTAAAACCCGAATCTTTCGAGTTAGATCTATGTCGTTTAGGGGATATTTAGAGGATTTGAGGTTCGATTTTGGCATGGGGTGGCGAGAGGAGTGTTTCGAGTAGGGGTTTAGGATTTCGGCCACCGGATGCGGTGGTCGATGCGGCGGTCGGCGGCGGATGGCTTCATCGAAGGTTGGTCGGTATTCGACAGGTGGGGGAGACATTGAGAAGGTTTTATGAGAGAAGAGGGGATAGTTTGGTGAAAATGAGGGAAATGTTATCTTTTTGTGTTTTGGGGGTATTTATAGGGGGACTATATTGTAATTAGAAGATAGTTAAATTATTTCTACAGTCCCTTAACTTTTGAAGTGTAATTCATTTCGGTCACTTGTTTCAATTTTACCTCCGAATTTTCAGTTATTTCAATTTAATCCTTCATTATATTTATTATATTTCACGATTTAATCCTCTAACCTTTTTATTTTCTTTGGCAGCTCATTTTATAACATTAATTTAAACCATAAATATATATATTTTTTAATTTGGTCCTCTATTTCTTTTTATTTGTTTATTTTTCTTTTTTTTAGCATTTTTAAACATTTTACTTTTTTAAAATATTTCCTTTTGTTCTTTTTAAAATTTTAATTTTAATTTTCCTAATTTTATTTAATTTTATCCTTTTTATTTTTTATTTTTAATGTTGTTATATTTAACTCTTTTATTTATTTTAGCCTTTTTCCTATTATTTCACGATATAACATGTTTTCTAACCTTTTAGGGGCACTTTTGACCAATCAAAGGTAAGTAATTTGAATCGAGTCTTTAAATTTTAATTTTCGCAATTAAGAAAACTGACAAATTAAAATGATACCGAAAGGGCAATTCAAGGGAGCTAATCCTTCCTTGACTATAACGGACTCCCGAATACGACATAGTTCTAGTAAAACGCAAATCAGGTAAGATGGTGTCCGATCAACCTAAATATTATTTTTAAATGATCGACTGCGATTCTAACGTGATTTATTTAAGTTAAAGCCCAATTTCGGGCCCATCCGAAAGACGGTTGCGACAGCTTGACGACTCCGTTGGGGACCGGTAAGTGAGTCGTGCCAAAATTAATTTTCGGTTATCTTTTTAAGGGAAATAAAAAATTTTAATTTTAATTTATTTATTCGATTCTTATAATTTATCTTTATTTTTCAAATAAATAGTTGTACTGATATTTTTTTTAATGATTTCAGATTTTAAAAAAAAATTCATCTCTGGCTCTATACCCGAGCTCCAAACCCTTTTTTAAGTGAAGGTGAAACCGATGCCTTCGTGGGAATTTATTCTCCGTATAGGCCTAGCAAGTAACCTTCGGGATTCATATACCTTGTGTCTTCGTGTAAATATATTCTCCGTATAGATATAAGGGAATGTATCCTCTCGAGTTTAAAATGGTCCACATAGACTTGTAAAGGGCTTAGGATTGAGGGACTGGCAAGCCCAAAGGGGGCACCAGCAAGGAGAACTCGAGTACCTTCTTTAGAACCTAAACTGGGAAACTGCAGGTGTAATATCCCAAAAACTAAGTTAGTGACTAA